CCCCCCCAACTCCCCCCGTACAGAGCGCTGGTTACCTCGCTGTCCAGAGCGCTGGTTACCCCCCACGTCCAGAGCGCTGGTCACCCCCGTTCCATGTCCAGAGCGCTGGTTACTACGCTCCCAGTCCAGAGCGCTGGTTACCCCCACTCCACATCCAGAGCGCTGGTTACCGCCCCGTCCAGAGCGCTGGTTACCCTCACGTCCAGAGCGCTGGTTACCCCTGCTCCATGTCCAGAGCGCTGGTTACTACCCTCCCAGTCCAGAGCGCTAGTTACCCCCACATCCAGAGCGCTGGTTACCCCCGCTGCATGTCCAGAGCGCTGGTTACTACCCTCCCGATCCAGAGCGCTGGTTACCCCCACGTCCAGAGCGCTGGTTACCCCCACTCCACGTCCAGAGCGCTGGTTACTACCCTCCCCGTCCAGAGCGCTGGTTACCCCCACGTCCAGAGCGCTAGTTACCTCGCTGTTCAGAGGCGGCACAGCTGACTCTAGCTCCACCCAGGAGGGCGGCAGGAAGGAGATGAAAGGGAAGGTTCCAGTCCCATCACTGGCCTTCTGAGGAGTGCCTGGAAGTGCTAAGAGGTGTTTCCCTCCCTCTCCTTATGTGGGTGGAAAGGGTGTGCTTCCCCTTCAAAGCCAAGTGAGATAATGCCCCACAATCATCTGGCATAGAGAGGGGGCTGCCAGCAAGAAGGAGCAAGTGGCCCTTCTGCTCGGAGGCTGCCGCTGAGCTGCACATCCCTGCACTCAGCCTGTGCTAATAAGGCGGTGCCCGAAGAGCTGGACAGGCACCGTCTGCATCTGCCCAGACGTGAAGAACGTGTGTCTCCTGCCAAGAAGGCTGGCTCCCTCCAAGGGTAGCTCCCTCAGAAAGGCCAAGGGATTTCCCCAACGAGATCCCTTTCTCAATGGCGGAACCAGGACAAGGACTTTTTCCAGGGGTGGGGGGCGAAGGGAAGCCATTGTAAATGCAGACGATTTCTACCCCCGGGCTGAGGAGCACAGGGTTAGAAAGCAGCCTCTCAAAGCAGTGATGAATCTGGGACCGGAACTGCAGGGCACTGCCCACCTCTCTCCACTGAGGAGCCAGGGTATCCCGACGTTCTTCTTGAACACCAGGTTTGTAGACAGATGGCTCCTAGGCCCCTGACCGCAGAGGAAAAGGGTTCCATGGAAATAGGGAAAACAGCCCAAAAAGAGAGGCTGGAGACACAGGAGACTGGCTAGACTCTGCAGCACAACATCTACATGATGATGCGGACCTGAGTGCCCCAGAACCAGCCCCAGCAGAGCCTGGGCCCTGAAATGAGCACTGTCTCAAAGTATAGAAAGCCCGGGGAGTTTGCTGTCACATGGTCTCCCCCAGTCCTTTCTCTGGCACCGTAATCTACCTGAACTTCCACTAATAAAAGCCCTGGCATTGCTCAGCAGGGTTCCCAAGTGCCGTTTCCTAGACTCAAGGAGCTGCATGACCTCACTTGAGGAATGCAGGTGTCCTGGGACTGTGTCACGTTGACCTCAAAGGAGACCTAAGGGAAAAAGTCCTGGGCCTCATTTTTATTTTGTAGGCAACTTCCTACTGCCTTAAAGACTTTAAGCAGCGATGAGGGTGGGGAAAGGATGAAGGGAGAAAGGGAGGGAGAGAGGGGAAGCAAGGGAGAAGTGAAGGGCCATTGACTGGCTCATTCATTGGTCTCACCAAAACAGATAAATCAGACCTATTTTACTTAACCTGTGAGGTTACCGTGAGCATCAAATGAAATAAAAACGAAAAGATTTCTTAAAGTACGGAGCACATGAAGTTAGGGCCAATCTTAAAACAAGGTGAAAGTCTCTTAACTTTAACAGAGATAGTCAGCCGGGCGCGGTGGCTCAAGCCTGTAATCCCAGCACTTTGGGAGGCTGAGGCGGGTGGATCACGAGGTCAAGAGATCCAGACCATCCTAGTCAACACGGTGAAATCCCGTCTCTACTAAAAATACAAAAAATCAGCTGGGCATGGTGGTGCGTGCCTGTAATCCCAGCTACTCAGGAGGCTGGGGCAGGAGAATTGCCTGAACCCAGGAGGCGGAGGTTGCGGTGAGCCGAGATCGCGCCATTGCATTCCAGCCTGGGTAACAAGAGCGAAACTCCGTCTCAAAAAAAAAAAAATGGAGACAGTCCTCCTGACCAAAGCTATTTTTTTTTTTAATTTAGCTTTGCCAGAGAGCCTGCGAGTGTTACAGGATTGTGAGGTCAGCCAGCTGCTCCTGTAGAATGCCGATGCATGATGGGAGTGCACACCACCCTGCTCACGACCTCGTGCAAGAGCCTAGAGCTGGCTCTCACAGGGTGCAGTTGGCCACCTTGGCCACGCGCTCCTGTGCATGAGAAAGAGATGCAAGACACTCCATGCATCTGCTTCTACAAATTAAGACCAAATATATACGAGACATCAAAAGGACTTCCATCATGGCCTTCCAGGAGCAGGGGAGGACAGAGGAAAGAGCAAATGGAAACTAGGAAGGAAAGAGGATTGCGGCAGATCACTGAGGCAGAGGAAAGCTGAGTGGCCCTCCTGGAGGAATGTGCCATCTCACAGCTGTTAGGGAATTTCACATGGCCCAGGTTTTTAAACGTATAGATGGGCCTATTTCTGTCCGTTTGCTGGTTTGTTCGTTTGGCTATTTATTTTCTTCTCTTGGTAGGCATAAATGGGAATATCATATTTTCACATCCAATCTCCACCTAGATCCCAAATAGAATGAGAAGCCAGCCTAGTAGGTGTTGCTAGGGAACCAGGGGAGTATTGCCTACATCCAGCATGAGGAGGGAAGAAGGAGGACGACAGGCCGGGGAAGGAAGTCAAGTCCCTCAACTCAGCCCTGGGGGAGACAGAGTGAAACGCTGAAGCCTGACCATCCCTCCCTCTCAGGAAAAAGAAAGGCAGAGACACAGGGGCTATCGCACCCTTGACTCTTACATGAAATTTTGCCTAGGGCCAGCAGGACCTAAATGGGCTCATTTAGACAAAAGATGGAGTCCAACTAACAAATTGCCTTCATTGCATAATTGAAGAGCCAGTGTAAAAAGCCTACAAGGTCAAAGAGAAGTGTGTGTACATTAATCAGACAAGCTACCCCCTTTCCACTTTTGCTCCAGTGCTGCCTCCCCATGAGGCCCTCTCTGAGCACTCTAAAATAGTGTTCCAAACTCCAGCCACCTCCCTCCTTCTGTGCATCAGCTGCCCTTTACCCTGCTCATTTATTTTTCCAAAGCACTTATTACCTCATACCACTCGATGTCATTTTCTTAGCACAATAATGACTCATTCTCTCTCCCTACCACTAGATTAAAAGCCCTCCAAGGGCAGGAGCCTTGTATGGCTTGTTCACTCATGCACCCCAAGTGAACTGCAGTGATTCACATAATATGCCCTCAGTACACATGTGTTCAATGAGCGAACAGCGACTCCTTCATCTACCAGCCTCAAATCCTTTCAAAATCATGTTGAGCCATTGAGTTTAAAACGGGTTGATTAGGGAGACCTAGGGCCAGGGGTGAGATGAGATAACCTCAAGAAATACTTCTGAGGCACAAAAAAAAAATTAGAAAATGAACTTTTTTTAAGCAAATGTTTATTTATATCAAAATACAAAACATTTCTGAAGCAGAGTAATGTTACATGAGGAGCAATTAAATACTAAACGTCTTTTCATCAGTTTAACTTGCAACACTCCCGGGGAACCTTCACTGGCTGCACATCGCGTCATTTGATGTGCCTTCTTTTTTCTCTTTTGTTTGCTTATTCACTTGTTTGCTCATTTTGATTTTTAATTCAGGATATGAACATGCAGTGTTACTGGGGATGAGTTGGTTAGTACTTAGCAAGCCTGAAAATACCAGCGAGTGGAGCCTGGCGTGGTAGCCTGAGCTGAGGCAGGCTGCAGGTTCTCTTCCTAATTGAGTCTGGGGTGTCACTCCATTTTTAACTGGCAGGTCTAAGGCCAAAGGGATCACTGTCATCAGTAGCCAGGGCAGGCATTATTGCTTAGGGTTGTAGAGCAGGCGTGGCTTTGGGGTCATCTCCAATGGGGTCTTCTCAGCGGTTTGGGAAGAAGGAGCAGGGTGCCCAGGGGCCCTGCAGGGAGAACCCTCTTACCCAGGAAACCAAGAAAAGGCTGGAGAGGAGAAGGCTCCTCCCACTCTTGGAAGTCTGTGATTTGGTGGCTGGGGGTGCCTGCCCATTGGAAGGGCTCCTTATAAATGCTTTGAGTTTGGAGATTTTGAGGGGAAAAAAAGCACCTGATTGAGAGTACAGCTGTTTCCAATATACCTCCCTTCCCTGATGGAGAAGGGAAGGAGGCAGGAAACGGGGGAGAGAGTATCTCCCCTTCATTCCCACACCGCCCCACTCCCAGAGCCAACCTGGGTCACCTTCAAACTCCCACTTAGTACATTCACTTTGGCGTTGTGCACCTGTGAGCTCTCTCTCGCTCTCTCTCACTCTCTCACATACACACGCACAAGTACATACACATATATATATGCATATGCGCGCACGCGCACACATACACATGCACACACACACACACCTGGTTTCCCTGCAGAATCTGCTCAAGCAGGAGAAAGGTGTCCCATCCTCACCATCATCTTTTGATTCCAAGGGTGCCCTTGGCCCACAGGTCCCCAAGACCCAGCCCCAGGCTTGGCACGCACTGGCATTCCCAGGCTTTTGAAAAGAGGGTGATAGAGCAGGCAGCTCCTCACACACAGGTTATACAGAGTGTAGAATATGTTTGTATAAGGCTTTGGTACAGCACCGATTTCGTGTTCTTATAGTTTGTTTTCTAAGTTATCTTTTAGAAGAAAAAAAAAAGCTTACTGAAAAAATAGTGTTTTTATTTACTTTTGAGTTACATACCTGAAGTTCAAAAAGTAAGCCTCTAGTTGCCATTCAAGTTCACACTCGAAGGTGTTCTGTGTGCAGCTGTACAATTTGTTGGTTTGTCTTTAATATGGAACAAAAGTCAGCCAACCAATACCATAAAGTCAGCTGCCCATAACTCACTTTAACCAGTCCATACATACATACAGAAAAGAAAGAGAGAGAAGAACACAAAAGCCACCCCTAAGTCACCCACCCCAAACCCCCAGGGAAAAACCAAAAAGAAGACAAAATACAGCAAGATAATCAGGAGCCAGTGGGAGGAAGGAGATTCAGCCCACCTGGCCTCTTCGAGAACAGCACCATGAAGCACCCTAGCGCAGTGATGTTGTAATACTCAACATTCAAGAAATGGAAACGAGGTTGGAGTGGCCTTCACAGGAAGACCTGGCATGGATCGGGGGTCAGCCCCAAAGAAAGTGGAAGAAAGAAAGAGTTCGAAATGAGAACAAGAAATCTCATGACGAAACTGACGGCAATATCCAGAAAAGAAGAACTACAGCAAGAGGCTGCCACGCACCGAGAGGTACAGAGTTTGTAAGGGGTCTGGGGGAGGTAGCATCGGGAGCCCCTCCCCACCCACACTGCCTGCTCACCCCCATCAGGTGAAACGGAGGAAAGAAGCTCATCTAAAACTTGCCTCCAGGTGTGTGATGGGAGAATTCTAACGGGCGATCAAAGTCCCTCCTCCGGAAGAGAAAACGCTGAAGGCCAAGGGCCAGGGGTCGCTGACGTGAAGCAGGATGTGGTCCCTTCGTGACACTGGCTGCGGATAAGCCCCCTTCCAGACCCTCTATCAGTGGCCCCACAAATGGCAGTTAGGAAATTAAATCTGAATGGGACTTCAAGACCTCTTGACACTGGTATGTACGACTTAGTAAGTGGAGTGTTAAACTGCTGTTCTCCCCTAGCCAACAATTCCCTTTTCTAACACCTCGGTCGAACGTTCCAGAATCAAGACTATCCCATAAAGTACCCCCCTCCCAGTCCCTGGACTCTGAGGCCCCACCCTCCAATGTCACAGCCACCCCCCTACTGGCAGGAAGTGTGCTGCACAGGCTGGCCTCTTCCCCCACCTCCTCCTTTCAGACTGCCCAAGTGGGTGGACACGAACATCTACCGCAGAGGAGTGGAAGCACAGCAGAAATCCAAGACAAGGCCTCTTCCACAAGCTGTTGGTTGGTGACAACGGGGAAGAGGGACGGGCCCACACCGATCCATGGGAGAGCGACTCCCGAAGATCCGCCTATTCCCAACTCTTGCTCTATACAGCAGACAGAGGTAGCAAAACAAAAACAACTCCTCAGATACCCCCGCCTTCTACCAAAAGGGAAAAGCACCAAAATTCAATGTCCATTCCGCTATGTGGGGACCAAGGAACATGTCCCAAGCATGGGAAAGAGCTCAGGCTCCTGGCAGTGGCTGTGTGCCGTAAAGCCTCCTTCAGAACACACTCATCCACCTGTCACACCAACAGATGCCACAAGCGGTTACCAGGCCTCCTCCTTACTCCACATAAAGCAGATTCAATGCCCTCTCCTCCAAGTGCCTTTTGGAAGGGCTGGCTCTTCAGAGAAGTTGGAGGTCGCTGTTGGGCTATCCTTTCCCCTCTGACGCCCACCCTTACTTCATCTTGCTGAGCAGTAGGGCAGACAGGTCACAGGGAAGCAGTAACATCCCCTCCATGCTATAAAATTTCAAGGTAACGGCTCTGGCCCCATCCTCCCTTCCCTCTGCAAAATAAAGAGTCCAGTTGGAGGCTGAGGAATGGAATGGTGACATGCAGGCCGGTGGCTCTCCCAGACCTTGATGCTGCTGAGGACTGAGCCTTGGGCTGGCCCTGGTGGGAGGGCGAGCCCAAGGGCATGCCCATGGTGCTGGAGCGATTTACTCTGCTGGTTGCATTGGCCCAGAAGTCGGGCAAAGTCCACGGAGAGAGAGGAGATGATGGGTCTAGGAGCCAAAAGAACGGTGATGGAAGCCTCCCTACAGAGACTGCTGTCCTGTGAAGGGAACAGAATTTGCAGCTCTTCTTCTTGCTCAATCTCCCTAAAAACTCTTACGAGAAACACCTAGCTACAGGAGCCTGCAGGAAAGATCAGTCAAGGCAAGGATGGACACACTGCCAGTGGCCCCGGCATGGGGCCCTTCCAGATGCGTAGACAGAGCCCATTTCCCACCAGCATACTCGGAAAGTGGGAAATGTTCTCAGCAATTAATCTGGGGACCCGAGGGCAGTGCCTGAATGAATGGCAGGGCCTCACAGGTCCATGTAAGGATCAAGAGTTAGACTCAAGCTTCACCCCAACCTATTCTTCCCATAATGCCCCAAAACTGCCAAGCAAGCCCTTCTCACAGTGAAGACATCTGTGTTCCTCCAAGGACCGAACTCTGTAGACAAGAGCTCTTAGGGAGTGCCACATCTTGGTTAGGAAAGGGGTTCGTATTGCCCTTTGCTGAGTGATGAGCAGGAATAAGGAGCCGAAAGGTTGCAGTCCTGAATCTCTCCTCGCTGCCTGCACCATCTGGCCCAGCACCGGCTTCAAACACATCACTCTGAGCTCCCAGCAAGTCAGGAAGGAGCTAGCACCCAGGAGACACTTGCTGAGGCTCCAAGGCAGGGCCCTTGCATATGTATGAGGTCTGGAATTTATTTGCTCAGAGAGGTATTCTTCAGGGCACACTGCTTCCTGCTCAGATACAAGTGAACTCCTGCTCCCCAGAATCTCCCATTCTGGGTCCAGTTCTGCCAATACATTATTAAGTCCTTTAAGTGCCCGGCTGGAGGCCAGAAAGAAGGACCCACTAACACCCATTCTCCCAATCCTGCCCGAGGTTAATCTCTCACTCCTGATCCTCCACTCAGTGTCCTAGGATTGGACCATCCCATTTGCAATGGCACTTTATTTTCCAGTTAAGCGAGACCCCATTCTAAGAAAAAGAAAAAAAAAAAACCTGAAAAAAACATAGATGACATATTTATAGTATATATATCACATATCACATTCACACTGGCTCTAAGAAGCTGCAGTGACACTACCCAGGGCATGTGTTTTCCAAGACCAAGTCCATGCAGCCAGCCTGGCAAATTCTCCCACTGCCATGCCTTCTAGGAGCTGTCTGAGCTACAGTGCTACAAACCAAGACAGGTGTCACTGTAGGTCCCTAGGTAGTCTCAACCACCTGCTTTCTAATGCTGCAAAGCTGGGTTCTCTGAGAAACTGGGTACCTTCCCACAGTCACATGGGGACAAAGTCACAGTTTTCATCTCCTCCTCAGTCTTGCCCCATCAAGCACCTCTGCAAAGAAGTCCAAGTCAACATCCCTCCCAAGTGGCAAGAGACGCGTGAATCCTGGTTCTTTAGGGCTACCAGATCCTGCAGCTCCACACTACCTTCGGCCGACTCGTCCTTCCTGCAGGTGGGTTATTTGTTTTGTTATTTTACAGACTTTCCCTATATACGCATTTCCATCAGAAAGACCCAATCACCTCTGAACAGAGAGAATATCAAAGGAAAAGCAGGGAAGGCGGCGGCATCAAGGCATGAGCTGGTATCCCAGGCTGCCTGGGAGGTTAGCACTGCTCTAAACATCTCTAAGCACAAGTACAAAAATAAAGCGAACTATGACTTCATATAGATATAGAGATATAGAGATAGACTTTACATAGGTTTTCTATTTATATGTGTGTGCAGAGGGCACAGGCCCTGTGCATCTTGCGTGGCACCCAGCCCTTGCCCTCCCGCTCCCCACGCCCCATGTGTGCCACTCGCCCGAAGATCCTGGTCACCACAATTGCCTCTGATCCTTGCCCCCCACATACATTCCCTTCTCTCCTTAAAATAGAACCAATTCTGTAGATTTATATAATTTTATGTACAATCTCCATAAAAAATACACTAAAGATGTTGTATCACTAATTTGACCCTCCTACCAAAACAGAAGTTGTCTAGCAAAGGAGCCAACCAAAGGAGGGTCTCCTGGGCCTGACGCTATGCAGACAAATCAGTGTATCTGTACAAATCTCTCTCACACACACCACATACACGCACACCACATCACACACACAGACACACACCATACACACACAACACACACACAAATGACACACCACACCACACACACACACACACCACACACACGCATACCACACACAACATACACATCAAACCACCCACAACACACATACCACAGATACACACTGCATCACACACCCACATCACACACATACCACAGAGACATACTCACCACACACACACCACACACACCACATACAACACACCACACACAATACACACAACATACCACACACAATACACACAACACATACCACAGA